CGGCATGCTGGGGGATGTGTGCGTTTCACCGTTTGATGCACCGCCGGTGCTGTTATGTAAGCGTGTTTATTTGTGAATGGGTAGCCTATAGAGATGGGCTGACGGGCATCCGGTCCGATTGAACTCGACCTCTGCTCTCTCGTTTTTTTGGCCGGGGAAAAAAAATAATGAATGCCTTTTTGTCGCGGATTACGCTTGCTGGTTCCCCATGTTGATTTGTTCGTTTTTTTGTTTTTTAGTTTTTTGGTAGGCATGGGCGTCTCTAAGAGTGATGTCGAGATTATTACGTATAGCCTTCTGTGGGTAGTAGTACTAACTGACAGGTAATCACCGTACGTGCTTCTGCTAAATTGTGCATTAATTGTGCACTTCAGCAGTGGAGCCCACCGCGTCCAGTGATGATTCGAAGTATGGGCAAATAAAGATTTGCTATTAAAATAATGTTTTAATTGCTATGTAATAACAAAGCTATTCTACATGTTAGCAGATTTAGCATGTTTCGCAACGTCTCGGTGAAATAGGGTGTCGCATATGGCTATAGTTTACGTATTGCGTTTATTCTTATACGTGGTCGGTGTCCCATACACGCGGATTATATAAAGGTAATGGCGTCTGCATGTGGCCAACTAGCTCGCTATGATATAAAGTGACGGTCTTCAATCACTAGTTAGTTCCAGAGCACCACGCCACGCGGTTCCAGACTGCCCTCGCAGACTTGTCAGCTTCGTTTTAACGCAGTTTTTCAGCGTGTATCGGCATCAGTTCCACACACCTGTTGAACGGCGAATCGGTCACCATGGCTACGGCACTCCGACGGCGAATGTACAATTACACGAACAAGACAAATTCTTACCTTTCATGCCTTTCTAGACGTCTCCATGGGGCAGCCTACCTTGCGTGCATAATGCAAATTAGTGCACTCAAATTATTCAATCTATATGCTTAATTAAATTTGGTCTAATAATTAAATTAACTCACTCTAAAATACCCAAAATCTTTTTAAACACGAAGAGTCAGACGTCAAAAGAGACAAAGAGACGATAATTTAGTGCAACTGGTAAACAATTGGCGGAAGGGCTACTGTTGTGTGCGTTCCTTAGATGCAACTGCACACAGTCTTGTCTTACTCATCCTCCACCGCCCCGAACCCGTGTGCTTTCCCCTTCCCCCCACGGAGCAGCGGTACACTATACGTTGTTACCTGCCTTCAACAGCGCTGTTTCGTTGTCGGTGGGCTACGAATAATAGCGCCGTCAATCAATACGCGGTACAGCATTCACGGTAATGCGGGTTAATGCCGCCGGTCGTTCGCGTTGGGGGTATAGACAGGACCTATCGCATGTGTGGCATTCGCTTAGCGGTGGTGTCGCTGGAGCGGCGTTGGGTGACGCGTGGGGGTGTCGGCTTGAGCAGTTAGGAGACGTTGCGGCTGCGTGCTCGCCTGCAAACACGAAATTGCTTAATCCATGCTAAATTCATTGCGCTACAGACACAATCTCGCCCACTTTCTTCACGTCGCTCTCTCTCTCTCTCTCTCTCTCTCGGCTCGCCCTTGTCCCATCTCTCTCTCTTCTCTCGCTCCTCGCTCTCTCTCGCCGTGCCTTCACTTTCTCTCTTTCTCTCCATGCCCCACTCTCTCTCTCTTTCTCGCCTTGCCTGTCTCTCTTCTCTCTCTCTTTCTAAACTCTCCGGCCTGGCCCCCTCACGACAGTTTATAGACATGACTGCATCATAGCCACATTGTAAAACAAAATTAACGAACTTCTCTTCACCATCGTTTTCCCTGATACCTACCCAGCGTGCCAGATTGAGCGCAGCGGACTGTGAACAAAGAAAGGACGCGAGCACGTTGACGGCCCTTCTTCCTATTTGTGCTTCCGTACTTGGGGTAGGCGGTGCATATGTTTGCGTGTTTGTGCTTGATCGTACGTGCTATACTTGGTCGATTGTCGTACCGTGTTTGCGCATGTCTCCAACGTACTTGTCTTTCGTACTTTGCTGCTTTAATCGTTGCTTAGCGATTGTCGACACGTGTGTTTGCTTTTCGTACCGTACTTAGTGTTTTTCGTTCTTGCCGCTTGTTGTGTTTGGTGCTTATTGTATTTGCGCTTGTCGTTCTATGTGCTTGTTGTGATTGTGTTTGCCGTACTTGTGATAGTTGCTCGTTTGGTGTTGTCGACTACGGTACGTGCTGCTTAGTAGTGCTTGTGCTTGTTACGCGCGTGTGTGCTCGGCCGTACTTGTGCTTGCCGTGCTTATTGCGCGTCTTACTTGTGCTGCCGTGCTTGTGCCTTGTCGTCTGTATACTTGGTCGTGTTTGTGCTTGTTCGTGCTTGTTTCTTGGTCGATCTGATTAGTTGCCAGTGGTGGCTTGTTGTAATTACTTGCGTTTGTCGTGCTTTGGCTGCTTATTGCTTGGTCGTTGCGTGTGGCATCATCTCGTCGGCTGCCAACAACTGACTGCACTGACTGATGACTGCCACTGCATTTGACTGCACTGCTATTGACCCACTACACTTGATTGACTGCCACTGCATTGGACTGCACTAACTGTTTTGACTGCACTGCATTGCACTGCACTGCATTGACTGCACTTTGCCTTGACTACAGCTGCATTGACTGCACTGACTGATTGACTGCGCACTGCATTGACTGTTACTGCATTGGCCTGCACTGAATTGATTGACTGCACTGAGACTGATTGACACTGCACTGTATTGACTGCAACCTGACTGATTGGACTGCACTGCATTGACGTGCCCACTGGACTGATTGACTGCATTGCCATTGCACTGCACTGACTATTACTGAATTGCACTTGACTGCCACTGTCTTGACTTGCACTGACTTGGATGACTGCACTGCATTTGACTGTACTGCATTGACTGCACTGTATTGGACTGCACTGCCATTGACTTGCACTGGCATGACTGCACTGACTGATTGACTGCACTGCATTGACTCCACTGACTGATTGACTGCACTGCGAGTGACTCACTGCATTGATTGCCACTGACTGATGTGGACTGCACTGCATTGACTGTATCTCTTACCTGTTACGTTATCACACGGCATCACTGGGCTGTTTATATCGTGTAAGACTGCCCGGCGGAGACTGGATGGATTGCTGTATGATCCTAAACGCTGGCGCTGCGGATTGAGACGCCCGCAGTTCCGCCCTGGATATGCGCGACGCGACGCGGGGATGTTCAAGTATGCAAGCGCTGTCCACAGTGGAGACGTGCCGCCAAATTCGAGGTGCCGGCGCCACGTCTCCACAGCGGTTTAGCGCGGATCGGTCTGTTAGTTTTTAGAAGATGACAGTGATTATATATGGACGATATTTCTAGCGGAATTGGAGATTATAAAACAGGTACAAAAATCGGCTCAGTCCATGCTCCTAGATTAGCCCTGAATCAAAAAAGATTAGAATTTAATCCAAAACAAGACAATAGCGTTATAAAATTAACAAACAAAACAAGGATCAGAGGAAGGAGATATTAATAGGCAACCAAGTAATCACAAAATGCACCAAATATTCATACGTAGGAGATTTAATAATGCAATATAGGAGGTTATAACGATTTATGATAAGAGTTGGTCGCTAACTGAAAAATGTAGGTCTATGATGAGGAAAATTTATTATCTATGGGCAGCAGAGCAAAATTATGGAAATCATACCTATAGAAGCAAGAGTGAAATTATACAAATGCCACAGTTTTACCTTCCTTCCTAAATAACAGTGAAACATGGACGTAACTGTTTTACTAAGGAAGAAGTAAAAAATGTTGAAGGCATTTCCAAAATGAGTGCCTTGCTCGCAAAATAATAATCACGCCAGGAAAATGCCAGAAATATTTGACCGAAAAGCATTGAAAGACAATAAAAAACTCAAGGAAAGATACGGGGAAATCAATAAATAAACATATATTTCTATACTAAATTCGTGGTAAATACATGTAAAAAACCCATTATTTT